TAACTCTATATGCTCTTTATTAATATGTTTGTTTAGTGCTCTAGCAAAGTCATTGAAGAGATAATTAATAAATCACCTATTGAATAGTTATATCTTATTATATGCATTCATTTTAACATTTTTTTTTTTTTTTTTTTTTTTTTTTTTTTTTTTTTTTTTTTTTTAAATTATAATTTTATTTTAGATATATGAATAAGATATAAAAAATTTAAAATAAAACAAATAAAGCTTCAAATTAACAAAAATATTAAATAATATATATCTTAAAAAAAAATTCATTTAAAAGAAATTAAGAATAGTTTATATTAGTAAATAATTGTTTTACTTTTTTTTATGAATAAAGTAAATAAGCATGTCATTTTTTTATAAATTAAATTGAAGTTAATGAAATATTCTAATGTGAAAAATTTTTATACTTCCTTAAAGGTATAAAAAATAATATATATATTAAATAAAAAAAATTAAGCATTTTAGAGAAAATCCATTAGAATACATAAAAAGAAATAATAATAAAAAAAGAAAAGAAAAGAAATATACCTTATTAAATAAATATATGTATTTATAAATATTTATATTAGTTAAGAAAGTATGATATTTTAATAATAAATTTTTAGGGAAGAAGTTTTTCAGCAACAAGTAAGGTCTTTATTGATAAAAACACAACAGTAATATGCCAAGGGATTACAGGAAAACAGGTATTTTTTTTTTTTTTTTTTTTTTTTTTTTTTTTTTTAAAATTTCTAGATTGGTAAGAATATTTTTAAAGTATTGTATTTTTGTATAACAATAAAAAAACAAAAAAGAACAAAATCTAAAAAAAAAAAATAAAAGGAAACATAAAACTAAAAATATTAAAAAAAAAAATTATTTATGATATTAATTTTAAGTATAATTTCTCTCTTTATATTTTAAGCACATTTTTATGTATCTACAGAATGATACATATACATGCATTAAAAAAAAAAAAAAAAAAAAATTATATAAATATTATGTAAATTATAATTAATAAAAACTAAAACAAAACAAAATTAAATGAAAAAAAAAAAAAAAAATAATAAAATAAAAAATAAAATAAAATAAAATAATAAATAATCTAATTTTTAATATGTGCAAGAAATATAATTAATAAAAATTTGTTAGAGCAAATTAAAATTTTTAAAAGGCCATTAATTAAAACTCTTGGGAACAGTTTCGCATATTTTATCTAAATTCTTAAATAATTTGAATCTAAATTTTTTAAATAATAAATATTGTTGTTAAATATTTTCTTAAAATAATATAAAGATTATTCCCAATTTTTTTTTTTTTTTTTTTTTGAAAGTAATTTTTTTACATTTTTATTTTATTTATTTTTCTTAGTTTTTATTATAAACACATAACTATATTGTCTTTTTTAAATTTTATGTATTTCATATTTTCCTTTTTTTTTTTTTTTTTTTTTTTTTTTATATTTCTATACAAATAAAACTAAATTATAGTGCACTTATTTATCACTAAAAATTTAAATATTCAAATAAAGAAAATTTGAGTAATTNATTAAAAATTAATAAGAAAATTTAAATTTTTAATAAAAATAGATATTTTTATCAAAGTAAATAAATGTCTCTTGAAAATAAAGAATTCTCAACTAGGTATATTACTTAAATACAGTTTACTTGTTTTATAGTATTTAAAATTATACATAAATTCATCAAATTAGTTGAAGTAACTCTATATGCTCTTTATTAATATGTTTGTTTAGTGCTCTAGCAAAGTCATTGAAGAGATAATTAATAAATCACCTATTGAATAGTTATATCTTATTATATGCATTCATTTTAACAAAACATATTTAGAGAAATGTCTACCAATTACTTACTATGAAACCACTTAATGTAGATAATTATAAACTTTTTATGTAATATCAAATAAATAAATTGATTTTATATCTTACTTTTTCAATCATATTTTTCAATAATTTTTATTATATATTATTATATCTTATTTTTAAACTTAATTTTTTTGTAAACAAAATTATTTTAAAAAAAAGAGTAATCATTCATTTTATTTTTTTACATTCACACAGAAAAACTACCAAAATAAAAATATAAATGTCTTTTTTAGAATTGATATACACACACTTTATTATACTTGCTTCATTATTCATATCATTGTAAACATGTCTTTAGGTATGTATTTTCATATAATTATTTTTAAATACTAAGTCTTTTTTATGTATATTCACATAAGCGTGTTTAAAATATCTTGCTTACACTAGGAGCATTTTTTTGTAGTATTTTTCATATATTCAAATTACGATAGACCAATAATATCTTTTATTAGCAAATTGATAAAAAAGTTAAACACAAGTTCTCATTTCTCATAAAAAAAAATAATTAAATTAAAAAAAGATAACAAAATTTTCTTTCTCTTATCTAGAGAATATATATAGATAATTTACTATTTTCATTTTAAGTTACTAACTTTTTTTTCATAAAAGGTTAATAATACCTTTTATTAATCTATAACGAAGTAGATATTACACTACAAGATCTCTATTAATTATACATTTCAAATAACTACAAGATCCTTTGAATGATTAATTAATAATAACTTGTACTAACTAGGAAAAAAGATGATAGAGAAAGTGTAACATAGATTATCGTTATTTCAATAAATATAAGGATAATTATTTATGCACTATTTCACATAAAAAAATTACGTTTTAAGATTTTTGTGATTTGGGGTTTTTTTAAATGGTATACCTTAAAGTTGTATATTTTAACATTACATTGGAAAAGAACATATAATATGCAAATTTATAGTTCTGAAAGGTGGACAATTTGTTTTTATTTCCTTTATGTTTAAAATACAAATCTTCATAATTACAAAGAATAATTGATATTTTTATGAAATTAACTCGAGAGTAAAGTGCTTGTTATAATGAAGATATAATTATTCTTATATGGACAATTAATGAGAATTTTCATATATTAAGAAGAATGTTAATAAAGTGAGTTATCAATTTTTTTAGACGTAAACTTATGATACACACAACATTATGATATTTGAGAACTTTGTAAATTAATTAAAAAAAAGATAGATAATTGAAATGATAAAAAAAACAAAATAGTATTCAAGAAGGTATAAATTTATGAAATACACTTTTTTTTTGAAAATTTTACATTAAGAGTATTAAATTTTTTATGTAAAAAAATTACAGTAAGTATATGAATTTAAATTCAAAGAAATATTTTTCTTTTCTTATTTAAATTTTTTGAAGATATGTATCTATAAAGAGAAGAAAATAAAAGTATCGAAATTAAATATTTTTATTAAAGATTCTACTTTTATATTCAAGTAATTATGTTGATAATACACGTTATAGCTTTTGCATTTTTTGAAAATTGAGTATTCACGAATAATATAGGATTTAAAATTAATCACATGTGAATTAATTACAACTATTAAAGTGGAAGTGATTACATACCTTTTGTCAGAGCGTTTCATCAGCATATCACAAAATTATTGTATAGAAATATGATGAACAATAATGTTAAAAATTAAATTCTTTTTATTTTATATTACTAAAATTTAAATTAAAAAAAATAGTATAAATATATAAATGAATTTTTTAATACAACTTTTCCTTTACAAATAAAATAAAAAATCTAAAAGACTTTACGTAAGCTCATAAAGAAGCATTATTTGATATATTTTACATAAAAATAACAATAAGATATAATTAATATTATTTATTACAATGAGGACAATAAAATAAAAAAATTCCATAAAATTGTTTATAAACATTTCTCTAAAGTTACCGATAACTTTTTTAAATAATCAATTTTTTATCATTTTAATGATAAACATCATCAATATTATACTTAAATTATTAATAAGTTTTTATTTTTTCTTAAATAATAATACATTTGTATTTTTATTTATTTAAAGAATTTATAAGCATTTTTTAAGTCGTACATTTATTTAAAATATGGTTAAAGCATAACTTTTAAAAACATAAATCATTTATTGAACTATTTAGTAAAAAAAATATATAAGATAAAATATTTAAATGTTAAAACTATTTATTATGATAATCTAGTAATTTTAAAATATTTTATTATTTTGTTGTTTCTTTCTTTAAAAGTCATTTAGATTAAAAATCTTAAAAAAAATTATAGTGTATAAGTTTAAATAAATGTATATATTTATTAAAAGCTACAAATATTACCTAATAAAATAATAAAAAAAAGAATGCTAATATGTAGTATTCATATCTATATGATATATAGTCAAGTAATGTAAAAATATAAGAACAAATGATTCATGAAATCCTTTTTTCAATAACAAAAGGCATTATACGTTAAAAAATATATAAATATCTATAATTGTAAAAAATTATTGAATTTTACTAAAAAAATCACATTTATTTTTCATGAATTACAAATATATCCTTATTATATTCTATGGAAATTTTTATTTATTTGTGAAAAAACTCCGGTGACAATAGTCGCTCATGCGACACCATTTTTTTTTTTTTTTTTTTTGAATTTTTACATNTTTAAATGTTAAAACTATTTATTATGATAATCTAGTAATTTTAAAATATTTTATTATTTTGTTGTTTCTTTCTTTAAAAGTCATTTAGATTAAAAATCTTAAAAAAAATTATAGTGTATAAGTTTAAATAAATGTATATATTTATTAAAAGCTACAAATATTACCTAATAAAATAATAAAAAAAAGAATGCTAATATGTAGTATTCATATCTATATGATATATAGTCAAGTAATGTAAAAATATAAGAACAAATGATTCATGAAATCCTTTTTTCAATAACAAAAGGCATTATACGTTAAAAAATATATAAATATCTATAATTGTAAAAAATTATTGAATTTTACTAAAAAAATCACATTTATTTTTCATGAATTACAAATATATCCTTATTATATTCTATGGAAATTTTTATTTATTTGTGAAAAATATATTTTTTTTATATATAAAAAAGGAGTTCTTATTTCAATTCATTTATATAAGATTTTTCCAATATTTTTTTCAAAAAAAATAATGTAAGAAAAACATTAGCTTCTAAATTGGATTTTTCATAATCGCCACCTTTGTTACCCATATCTTCGGGAAATAAGGATTTCAAAAAATCAGTAATTAAAAAAACATTCTCCATTTTTAGTTGTACACCCATTATTAATTTTCTAAGATTCATTATATTTAATCTTGATGAATTAAATTCATAACTCTTTCTTAAATTGAATGCAATTTCTGCAACCCTACTTTTTTTAGTACTTAATTCTGCAAGTAAATGTAATTTCATGTCATGAGATAAAACTCCCTCTTTTCCATTTTTAGATTTTGTAGTTTTTTCTGGTAAATTCATTCCTTTCAATGATTTACGGATATCCAAAAGTTCATTTATTTGGTTCAAAAAATTTACAATTTTTACTATTTCCATATAGGTTTTATACAAGGAAAGTAGAATTTTAAATTTATCTCCTTTTTTTTGAAGTCCAGAAAAATAGTCAATTTTTTTTTCTTTAGTTATATTTGAAACAAAGACTTCCCTAGATTTTTTATGGCACTCGGAAACTTCATGCTCTTCTTTGATATAAACATCCAAAAGTGACTGTATAGCTTCTTTATCATCTAAACTTTTCAAATTATTCTTTATATAATTTTTACATTTCATATTATATTTATAAAAAAAATTAAAAATATTTTCCATTTCCATTAATTCACATGACATATTTAATAAATTTAAATATCTTAAATATTTCTGTTTATAGCTGTTTAAAGATCCTAATATTTTTCTTTTAATAGATATTAATACTTTCGTTTTAAACATATATGAGTGTTGTTCAGATGTGTTTCCACTTATAATTGATGTTTCAGTGGAATCTATTAAATATTCCATGTTATGCAATGATTCTGTAAATTGTATAGCATTCTTACTATATGAAAGTATTTTAGGAGGATTATATGAATAATTATACGTAATATTTTTCATTATTAACATTATTTCAGACTCTCTCTTAAATGCGTGATAATCAATTTTCATATTTTTTATAAAATCTAAAATGCACTCCATTCTATTATGTAATTCGTGTGTGTTACTGATTTGATAATTTATTTTATGGTTAAATAATAATACAAATTTGTAAATATTACTTAATTTACTACCTTCTTTATAAAATTTGGAAAAATGACTATTAAATATCGATAAATCTTTTAAACTAATAACCTTCAGTTCTGCATCTACAACTTCTTGCAATTTTTGTATATTTTTATTAAAACCATGTGCAAATTCATTGTATTTGAAAAATAAATCATTGTTAATTTTTTTTAAATCTTCATTTATCCTAGTTAAATAATTTGGATCAATTTTAAAAATGATTTTTGGTATGATCGTATTAAATGAAGAGCTACTACCCCCATGAGAATAATTCATTAAACTATTCCTACTTTTTTTCTTATCATCATCCCTTTTTTCACTAATTTTTTTCTTCTTTGACTTATCTCCAGTATTTTCTTTCAACTTTCTTTTTAGTGAAGTACTAGCACATGGTTCATCAACATCATATGGAATTCTTCTATAATTAAAATTAAAAAAAATATGTATATATAAAATGCTTAATTAAAAAAAAAATTTTATATGGAAAAATATAAAAAAAAAAGTAAGTACTGTTTTTCTAAGAATGGAAGAGAAGTATTTTGTAAATCTGTGAAATAAGTTTCATTTTTATTTTCTGTTTTTGGATTTTCTAAGTAGGAAGACATACCTTCAACATTAGTTGAATATAAACTAATAACAAGGAAAATTAAATATATATATATATATGGTACTTAATTAAAATAAATAAGTTTCTTCATGAAAAAAAAATAAATATATATACTTTTCTACAGGTGGACCATAAGTAGTATTTTGTGTGTTGTGGTAAATGCTTTGAGGGTCAGTTGATGTATCATCATCAAAAATTTTTTTTTCTATGGAATCCTTTACATTAGGGGAACTATTATACCTAATGATGGAATATTGTTCAGGAATAAGAAGAATATATACATTTAAAACATTTAATTAAAATATACAATTAAGTATAAACAATAAAAATAGGTATACCCTTTTAAGGATAAATCAAGAGGCATATATTGAGTCTTATGGTGATCCTTTTGCGATGCACATAACGTACTTTGATGACAAATTTTTTTTTTAAATAAAATCTTTGTAGGAGAAGAATCAACCTCCATGTGGGGTGATGGCTTTTGTCTATAAATGAAAAAATCACGTTTATGTGAAACATTTAATTAAAATAAAAAGTTTTTAATTTAAAATATAAAAAAAAATACATACCGTTCTAAGGATAAATCTAAAGGAGTATCATTTTGATCACTGGAAGGGTTTGGTGAAACAGGTAAGTTAAATATTTGAGATTGTCTTTTCATTAATGTCCTTTTGCTAACAAACACATCCCTATAACAAATAAATGAAAATTAATTAATATAGAAGATAATTGAATATTGAATATATATATCGTTATACAAGAAATATATTTTTTTTTAATATTAATATTTTCTATCATTTATTTGAT